AAAAGCGACAACTACAAAAATAATCGGTGAAAAACCCATAAAAAAAGTGTCGCAATCGTAATGTTGAATAAAGATAGATGAAAGAAACTTTTCTACGAAATGCGACAGCAACACAAATAATCGGTAAAAAACCCATAAAAAAAGCGTCGCAATCATAATGTTGAATAAAGAAAGACATAAGAAACTTTTCTACGAAATGCGACAACAACAAAAATAATCGATGAAAAACCCATAAAAAAAGTGTCGCAATCGTAATGTTGAATAAAGATAGATGAAAGAAACTTCTACGAAATGCGACAGCAACACAAATAATCGGTAAAAAACCCATAAAAAAAGCGTCGCAATCATAATGTTGAATAAAGAAAGACATAAGAAACTTTTCTACGAAATGCGACAACAACAAAAATAATCGATGAAAAACCCATAAAAAAAGCGTCGCAATCGTAATGTTGAATAAAGAAAGACATAAGAAACTTTTTTGAGAATAGCGACAACAACAAGAATAATCGGTGAAAAACCCACAAATAAATGCAAAAAGTAACGTTCGTCGTCTCGATTCACTTCATCCTCCACTGTGGAAGGCAGAAGTCTTTTTTTGCATGCGCCAATGTGCGATGATTTTTGCACACCCACCCTATTTTACCCACACTTTCCTTATTTCACACAGCTCCATCCTGTTCTACCAACTGCCACCATAGTTCACCCACCCAACTCATTTTCACTCACTCCCACGCTATTTCAATTATCGACACCCTATTCCACCCACTGAACTCATTTTTACCCACACCAACCCTATTTCAAATTTCTGTCTATTTGGGATATATTAAGTATGATAAGATATATCACAGGTATAAAGCTAAATTCGAGTTCCATTTAAATATCTTTGAATTGAAAAATATTTTATTCATCATATACATACCATGTTTCTGGTTCAATATTTGTTGTTGAAGGGATATTATTATCAACTGATTTGATTCTGAATAAAAGAGAAATAAAAAGATTTTCTTTTTCTTTTTATTTAATAAAAACTTACATTTTCAATATGTATTCTATTATCTTGCATAGTTAGTGATTTTATCAAATACGTTGAAAGATTCCTCGTTGATTTCAAATTAAAATCTACAAAAATAAACTAGAAAATAAATATAAAACATTGCTGCCTATTTTATTTTGTTTCTACCGATATTACTTACGTTAGTTCGGTCCTGACAGATACACAAATATAAAATCATATCAAAACTACTTCCACTTTCAGGAAAAATATTTCAAAACTAAAACGTTTGTTTTTCTTTCAAGAGGTAAAAGTCAACGATATTACACGTTTTCTTCTACTTTTCACACATCTGATCTCCATAAATCTGTCCTTGCGAGATAGAAATCTTTCATCCTTATTGTCAACACTCTCTTCATCCACGAATCTTTATCCTGAACACATCGTTCTTACTTTACTTTTACAATAATTACGTTACCATTTGAAATGTATTGTTATTTCTTTGAAGTGAAGTTATAAAGATATTCATAAAAAAACAGCATATTATCAATGAAGTAATTACGAACAAAATTTATATAATCGAGTTGATACGGTTTATTTATTTAGAAAATATTGGATAAGACCTTCCAGAATTTTCTATTTGCTGTTTTTGAAAATTATTCATTCAAACAAATATTGATAAGCAGAGAATGGTGTGACAGGATATCAATGAAAACACAATAACATTTTGTCTATATATTTATTTCTAACACATGCCGATTTATGTATTTCTTTTTGTTTTTAAAACTCATTAAAATAATACAAGATTATGCACACTTTCATTTCACAGGATTAATTTATTGTTATCACCAAAAAAAACTTGCTAACGAGTGTGTGAGTGTGGATGCATGTGGCTATAACTGTGAGCATCTAACTACACTCACAAATACCCTGAAGAGAGAATAGTTCACGAGTTGGTTTCGAAAAGATTACCAAAACTGTTGATCATCAAATATTTAGTCAGACAAAGTCGCGCACCAAACTGTAATCTAATATCAATGGTATAAAATATTCAAGAAATAGTGTTTTCATAAATAATTTCTATATTTTCTATTCTGATTGTTCACATTTAATTTTTCAGTTCAATTTCGGATTCTATTCGTAACATATGATGGTTTTTATTTTATTTATTACAACAAAAAAATGATTGCCATAAAGGTCACCATAAAAAATACAGTTCGAACGATTAAATGGAGTTTGTTGTTTTTCTAACCATTCCATTGTTAATGGTCTTGATCTTGGTAACTGTTTCTTGATCGACGATTGAAAATTCCCCGGAATAAATACAAATAAGTAACTTAATTTCAACATTCGTGCTAAAATATGTTCGATTGTATGAGTTTTAATTTGAACACCTAATGATAAACATTCACATTTATTTCCAAAAATCGATACCATTCGTTCAATTTCATATTCATTGAAACATTCTGATGTATTTCCATAGGATTGAAATTTTAAAATACGAATCTTTTGTGATAAATGTTTACATATATGAAAATCATTCCAATCATCTGTTAATTTAATCAATTGATTTTTTTCTTAAACTTAAAGAATACAATCGAGATGCATTATCTAATAAAAGTCGAAATTGTTCGATTGAAATATAACCATAACTATCAATATGTAACTGTTGTAAATTAGTCAATGTATTTAACCAATGTATCGATTCAAATTGTATATCAATAACTAAATTGTTTATTTTCGTTCGATTAAAATTATTATTTATTGGAAGATAATTTCCATAGATTAATGTTTCAACATTTCGATAGGTATTAAGATGATCATCGACAGGTACTTTTGACATCGTTTTTTTCAATGAATTTTTATAAGTTGTTAATGTTTTCATTGGATATGGAAATGTATAAAACATCGTTTGTTTCGAATAAAGCCGACCTCTATCAGAAGCGCAGAGATGACAATTCAAAAAACATTTCTTTTCTTTTAGAAAGAATGGTGTTGCATATGAATTTATGAATTGTTTTAAATCTCGTAACGATAATGGACGAAATAGAAAATAGAATCGAAATATTTTTAATAATGGACATGATGAACGAATAAGTTGTTCCCATCGATTACCAAACATTGGTACTTGTCCTGATTGTATTTGATATATTTCAAGATTTGTTAATTGAGATAAAGAAATAAGAGAATCATATATTAATGAATGTTCAACAGGAGTCATTAGAACAAATTTAAGATGTTTTATTGTTAATGGCCAGAATAAATGATCTTTGTTTTCGCAAACATGATTGGTTGTATATTCAATAGTTTCAATTTGAGAAAAATTCTAAATAGAATAAGATTAATGAATGAAAGAGAAAGATTTGTGTCATACCTGAATCCAATCAATTGATAAGCATGAATTAAAAACAAGTTTTTTAAGTTTTGGTAAATCAAATGATTGAATTTCTTTTGCACATAATGATTCAATTGGTAAATAAATTAAATTTGCTAATGATGGAAGTATAGAAAAGAATAACTTTGAGTTTTATCTTTCAATTCGCCAACAGGAAAGAATTGTAATTGAGAAAAATTATTCATAGATATGTAATTTTCAATAATATGATTCATCCAATATGGTTTTTCATCATTATTAGATATTCGCATTGATTTCCATTGATTTGTATTATGAATTTGAAATATAAAATCACATTTTGATTTATTGACGGAATTTAAATCAAATATTTGACAACATTGCGAAATTAATGATTGAAAACGATGATTTAAATTTGAAAATGCAATATTTTTTTCATTCTTCTATACTTGACAGCAAATATATACAATCGAATAAAGTTATTTGACAATGATACTTCTAATAAATTCTTTAATTGTCTAAAACATTACTTTATCATTTCGTAATGTGATATTCTATACATCTTCTATTCTTCTAGTATAATCATTTTTCTGACATTTTACTATCGCGGTATTTGTGAAACAATGATTGGAATTAATGATGAACCCATCGTATCATATGGAATCATTATCAAATTCAATTGAATTTTTTCATATTTAAGATACATTCATTAATTTATTATGAAAATATTTAGTATATTAAGATGTAGAACTCGATGTCATGCTTCAATATAAAAACATCAATAAAAAAATAATCAATTTAATTCTGTTGAATGAGCAAGTATCTGCTGTTTCAGTTTATGGACATATGGTTAATGAAACAGTGGCAGAAATTGAACATTCATTGATTTGGTAAGAATAATATTAAATATATATCGAAAGAGAAAGTATATATTTACATCTTTTGAGGTTGTGTTCTATATTACTATTCTCTCACAGTCACACTGCTTAACCAATACTCGCACTTACTAATGTACAAATCAAAAATTCAATTTCATCTATTTATTGAGTTTTAATAAAATGAAGATTTTCCTTTCATCACGTGGTTTTTGAAGTTGTTCTTTACTTTTATTAATTTTCTGCTTTTTAAAAATTATTTTGCTTGTTCTTTTTCTTTGTTTATACTAAGTCTTTCTTTTAATGAAGTGACGATGCCAATGCGAGAGTAACTAGAGACAAAAAACACCCACCCTATTTATGTTTAGAAGAACTTCTTGTGGTTTTTATTTCATGAATAATTTTAGAAATGCAAGTGGAATAAAAAGGGTACCTTGAAGAAAAAGAAAAAAATCATTTTAGAATATAGAGGATAGTCAAAACTAAAACACACGTTAGTCATTTGCTAAATATGTCAATAGATATTGATTGTGGTTTAAGCTGGTTTTGCAATATGAAATGGACCAGATTCAATACTGCACATCTTAAGGGTATGGGTG